AATCTGATATTCCAATTTGCTTATGTTCAATGAGGAGCTTTAAAACATTTCTTTAAACAATTTCAAGAATTACACAATTCAAATGCCCTGGAAATAATTCTTAAGAACTTAAATATTTCCACAGAATCATCACAATAAGGAGTTTTAACATCATACCTAAGAAAACCAATAGCATCAGCTATGGAGGAACTAAGTATCTGGCAAGCAAAAGTGGGAGTTTTAATGCAGGATACAATGAGAAATACATAGGTAAAGCAAATAGTTTGACGTTTATCATTAGAAATTAAAGAACTTTATATGACTATTTATGCCTCTCAGTGGATCAATGGTAAGTTTGAATGCTTATAACGATACCAACCGAGTTTTAATACTCATGGTGGGTACATCAGAAATAGCCTATTGTTGTAGCTTTCTGCTCAACAACAAACAAACTGTCACGACAGCGGAAGTCACGTGACGCTGGGAGCATGCCCGCTGGAGTTTCTCGAATGATCATGAATTATTGAGGAAGACCGAGTTTGTTCAGGACGACCTCTTTTTGAGTATATAAGCATGGTGAGAAAAAAACATCGGGATCGGAGAGATATATAATTGAGTCAAGTGAACAGTAGGCACTGTAAGTAAAGTGTGTGAATCACTGTGATTTATAGCGTGTGTTATAAAAGTTGTTAAGTGTATTACAAAGTTTGTATCGAGAAAGAATAAACTAATTTTAATCAAGAAAGGACTTGTATCGCTGAAGCTTCTCGGAACGAATTACTACGGGAAATTAACAAACAGGCAGATACGTAACAAAACAAATAAGTGCTTCAGAAGCACTTGTCTTTTTAATTGTTGGTTTGATAGGGAATAAAAAGACACCTACTGCTTACTTCTTTGTTTGTAAAGTAGGTGTTAAGGTTTTAAGTCAACTAGTTATAACAACGTTGAACTTTCCTGATGAAGCAGGTTTTTCGTACACTTCTGATGTAAGCTTGGAAATTCTGTGAAAGATACCGATGGGTCATTTCTTTATCCTCAGAAATGTTATAATTCTAGTGACATGTAAAGTTATGTAGATATGTCTTATCAGATTTAATAGGATTCACAAGGAAAGAGAGAAAAATTGAATGGAGGTGCTTTCAAAGACTTTGTATTATTCAAGAACAAGAAGGACTCAGTTTAAGTAATGGATTAGGTCTCAGGCATATACATGGGTTAGGCAGAAAATGATTTTCTCTTTTGCTTACCAGACATTTTGTTTCTCATTGGCTGATCTTATTGATTTCCTCAGATGTGATGTTAAATATTGTTACGACAGCGGAAGTCACGTGACGATGGTAACACGTCATGAGCTTCTAGAACGTTCATGTCCCTTCCTGAAGCCTCGAGTGTTTACTAGATATGCGGTATTCTTGTATATAAGACGGCCAAAAAATGACGGCAAGAATGTAGTTGAATTGCAGACAGAGATAGAGATGGACAGTTGGGTCGAGCGCGTGAGTCGTTCATTGTGAATTATAGCGTTTGTTTAACTTATAGCGTGACC